GACATATTTAAAGCTCTGAGGCAAAGCATCGACTAGTAGTGCTCTATACCAGTGTTCCCCAACCTTTTTGGGCTCGCAGACTGGAAAATTTTAATAAAATCCTTCGGGGACCAGCATATTTTCATAAAATTTTCCGCGGACCAGCAACGTTCCATACAATTTTTGATGAACAGCAGAAAATTTTAAAACACCTGCCATACAGTCCGAACAACACTCTTATGGCGAAACTTAAGTTGAGAACCCGTGAATAAGCAGCAATAAAGCGGAAATGTATTTAATAGATATGCTGGGCTTAAGGAAAGGTTTCTGAGGTTGAAAGCTGTAAGTAATATATTTTAGCAGGTGAGAATTGACCTGAATTCCTAGTTGGAGAAAAACCAACCATTTATTTTCATTATAGATAATTTCATCCAAAACTTGTCTCCAAAACTTTGGACTGTGATAACAGACTTCATTACTACTTTTAATACATTCATTATGTGGAAGAATTTTTTCCGCGGACCACGGGTCGGGTAACACTGCTCTACAGCAAATGAATTTAAGATGGAGGCTAAGATACTTTTTTTGAAGTTAATGCATCTTTAATTTATGAAACGTGACTTCCACTGAACTCGAGTCAGAACCCTGAAGTGAAATCCACGAATCTCGTTTGCGACCCACAGATGAATGCGTCATTCCAACCATAAATTAAGATACATTGCAGCACTTTTCAAGATGTTTTGATCCATACGAGTTTTTATAAAAATGAAGGGGGGGGGGGGGGGGGGGGAGAACAAGTGTGGCATATAAGCCCCNGGGAGTGGGGGGAGCGGGGGGGCAAAAGGCCGATGATGACGAAATTTTCGGGAAATTAGGACGAAGGTTTCGATTGCAGAAAATATTAGTACAGTACTGCACTGCACAAAGCTCGTCACTTTTTATTGCTTTCTTCATCGCCTCTCAGGCCGCGAGTGCCAATTTACTCTGGCATGGACTCGCTTGTTCAAAACGGCGCCCGGAATTTAATTGCGAATAAATCACGAGGCGCTTTTCCCCTCGCTAAATATTTGGCGGAAAAGAAGACTGGGCATTGCACATCGTTAACGTGGCGCCAGTAGCACCGGCCTGGACGCGGACGGGCCAGTGTACAGTATAGCCAAATTTTGCCAGCCATTCGTCGTGATTTGTTTCCCGCCGTTTTGAAGCGGATCCAATTTTTTTTAATGAATCCGAAATTTTCCGCAGAGAATTCTACCCGCTATTTCTGACCGAATGCGGCGTCATCCTATAGTTGACAAACGACGTTATTTTGTGCATATACTCATACTATGCAGTAGAAATGTCTGATGCTCCAAAACGACACGACTGACGAATTTGGATAAGTAGAGAAAATATAGATGGAATAGAAATTTTACGAAAATTTAGAAACACGCGTTTTTGTTTTGGTATTACCATTCAAAAGGCGGAATGCTGAAATGCAGGGGATATTGCCATCCAGAATATGTGTTTATTTGAAGATAAATTCGTAAGTGTTGGCATTTATCTGCTTTTATCCATTTTCATTTTGAATTGTTTGAATACCGGTAGATGTCAGTATCAGGCAGAGTCGTATTAAAATTGCACAGTCGCATTTAGAATTCTTTCAGAATCGTTCAAGATTATAAAGAATGACGAGGTGATTGATTTCCACGAAGTCCTCTCGAATGTACAGTACAATAAGAAGCAAATTTTTATTGGTGGACATTATTTTGTTTCCATTAATTTCAGTGATACAGTACTTTCTGTAAAATTATGCTCATGTAACGCGAGGTTCAAAGCAGAACAAAAATGCTCACTTTCCCACTGCTGCTCAGCAGTTTTTTTTTTTAATTCTCCATATGAAAATGAACACTGATCTATAGATGATATGATGTAGACTGTGATTTCAAAAGATTGTATGGAATTAGATTTAGATGATGGTGATAGATTTAATTGAATGCTCCCTTCAAACTGAGTGGGAATTCTTATCCATTGCAATTCTTAAAAAAATTAGAAATTTGAAATGCTTCGTTTTTGTCATGCTTTACCTGCAGCAATTCAAGCTCTCTTGTCAGATGTATGAGCCTCAATTTCTTCCAGATACCTCTGAGAATATTTTATTGCACTGTTTGATACACACAACAAAATTCCATATTATCCATCACACGGGAACTTTTTGTTACACTCTGTAGAATAACTGTTGATGGCTGTTCAGCGATAGCATTAAGCATCGTTTTTCAGCTAGTAGAACTACTGCAAAAATGACAACGGTCCGTATGTTTCCGGGATATCGTCAACTGACTCTTTAGCAAACTAATACTGCATTTTTAGCTTTGATGGATCAGAAAATAAAATAAAACGAATTCAATCGTTGGGTTTATGAGCGATATTCCATGATTGTATGGGATAAATCGGATTGACGTTTAATCTCCTTTTCCCGCTTAATCGGTTATTTAACCTTTGAACGTGTTCACATTTCAATCAAGTCATTCTTCATAGCGTTTCTATTTCCCTCTCAAGTACAGTATTTTCGAGGTTTTTAAAATGGTGACGGGATTTCAAATGTATAGCTTATAACTTTGAAAATGAACACGCCGCTGAACAAGATGAAAGCCAAGATATTATCTCATTTACAGAGAACCATTAAAAACAACATTTTTTTAGAAAGCTAAATGAAAAAAGCCCTGACATTCGAATTATACTCGATTTCTTTTGAATCAGAGATTCTTCTATTATGTAATTCTTGCTAGATTCGCCGAATATGCGCATATTTTGAATTGGAATTAGAATTCCAACTCTTCTGCGCATGTAGGCTGCAAAATTGCGGATTCGTTCACCAAGAAATTTTTTTCAACCTATTTTCGCACAGACGATAGTTCTGGTAAAAATACAATTCTCACCACATTTAAAATAAGCTTGCTAAAAGGAGTTTTCAATGTTTCAGCAAGAAAAAATATTTGCAACCCGTTACAGTATTCCTGCACGCTTCTCAGTGCTTCAAAAGATACCTACACAGTTTTATATTTACGCGAAGCGAATACAAGTTTAGCACATGATTACTGTTTCCTGCGTTGTCAAAAGGTAGAAAGAAAATTTTTTGTTTGATAGAAGATGAATTTTGCCGAAGTAGAGAAAGATGAGGTCGAAATGAAAAGATTCCGCTGCGGGAATTAATTTCCTGCGTCGAGAGAATTTCTCAATTTTCACCACCGTTCTTTCTTTCTTATCGCGGTTCAATTTAGAAACGGCCGGGTGGTGGATTTCTTTCAATCAAAAAGTAATACTTTTTCAGAAATATGTAATTTCCGAGAAGAGAAGAGGGTTCGAGCCGGGGAAAACACGAGAAAATGAACAGACGTTGTGGAGGAGGCGTTGAAATCTTTTGATTCTATCTTCGAAACTTCCTGTTTCGTCTTTTTTTTTTAAATCATTATTTGACTTTGTCGACAGCGATCGGCGACTACTCACGTGTTGGACGAAATCGAATGTGGTGTTCCCTCATTCGCCCAGCTTTCTTTTTTTTTTAAATTCTCTCTGTCTCTCTCTTTGTTTCGCTGTCGACTTCGACAGGCTCTGGTTCGTCACTTGTTGGCGACGCGCGAGCAATCGAGTCGTCGTGATTTGCAGAGCCCGACGCGTTTTCATCGTGCACCGTTTTCTCACGAAAATTTAATTTCACTCCTGATTATACGCAGTGCCCGCGTGCTTTTAATCAAGTGTGAGCTTGTTGGGAAAGGAATCTTTCAGAAATAATGAAAAGCGATTGTTTATCCAATGCCGATCGTGTCTCTGTCTCGGGGCGTCAATAACACAAATAATTTATTTCTATAAGCGGGTCACCTCAAATGGTTTTTAATTTTGCGAATGAAGTTATGATGGAGGCAACACATTTTTCATGTCACTGAAACTTGCTAGCTTGTTATGTCTTCTTCTTCTCGTGAATTCGCACATTCTGCATATAAATTTCTTCGGATACGATTTCGGAAGGGATCTTTCTGAATTTATGAAAATTAGTCATGTATCAAATATTCACCTCCAACTGCGACAATATAAATAATCTGTCTGAGATGATCACCTCCGATTTTTCCATTCAATGAAAATCAATTCATCTTATTGCTGAGGAACGAAGTGCAATCGTCCGGATGAAAGAAATTAACAAATGTTGTAGCATTTTACACAAATAATACTCAGCATAAGGTGACGATTTATAATATGATTTGACGTAATCCCGATGCAACCACGAATCGCCAAACTAATGATTGAACAAAAATTTTCACTCTCCCGTCGATAATCATTCGCAAATCCAGAATACCAATCATTGAGTAAATCGATAATATTTCCTTAAAGGACAAGTAAAAAATATTTTGAAATAGGATATTTTCTGAAGAAAATTATTCCGGCCGATATATTTGCAGTTATTCAATCGAAATATTGTTATTATTATTGATTTCAAAGCACCGGTTTTTTAAGTTCTTCTTTTAATTATTACTGTACTTCAAACCCAACAGATAACAAAAACATTCATGCCCAATTCTCCAAATAGCATTTCAACTACGAAGCTGTTTCAATTAGAAAGCAAAAAAGAACAACGCATCCTCAATTTTTGCATCTGATTCAATTTCGGAAAAAATGATACGTCGCAGTTTAAAATCGAATTATTTTTAGATTTTTTTTCATACCAAATTTTGGAGGAAAAAGGTTTCGATTGAGGAACGATTCAACCGATTTTCAATATTTAGATTTATTGTTTAATTTCTGTCTGGAAGGCATGTTCATTCATGTCTTGAATTTTAACCATTTCTTGGCTGATCTCTGATGTTCGTGGGTCGGGGAAAAAAGTTGAGAATTATAATCGGACGACTGCTGTTACAAATACCAATTAAGGCCTCCGTGTTCCGTCAATTATACGAAGATAGTGAATCGAATTGAGATACAAACAAGTGAAGAATAAAATACCAAATAGAACTCGTCGATATAACAGCAAGAGGAATAAATAAGCGAAAATGGAAGTCCGGAATGACGGAGCAACAATGGACGATGCTGAGCGCTACTCGTCCGAAATGAAAACGTACGAGTCTCCCGAAAACACGATCCTGAGCCCACTTGACTACAGCAGAGTCCCACTAGACGTGGAACCATCGTGGCACCATCGGAGCCACGTGGCGCCTGGCTGTGGGGCGCAGTTCGACGCCGTCGACCTGTCGACTCCGTGTCCACCGGGTTGCAGTGGGGCCAGTGTCAGGTCCCCGCTCGGAGTGTCGCATTGCCACGACATCACGTCCTTCTGCACCCTCGAGGGTGAACACGACAGACATTTATATTCTATACATATAAATTTAGACAGACAGACAGACAGGCAGACGCATTCTCAATTTTTGGCAATATTTATTCGACTATATACGTGACGCCAGCGATCATCAGTAAAACTCACTTTATATCATTTTTTCTGTTATGAGAACAGGATTTTTCTGCGAATTCAAGACTCCGCATTTCCGTCGCATTCAATTTATTTTTCACCACAGGAGTCCGCTTGACTTGAGAAGTTGAGATTTGCTCCAGTTACGAGCGAATTGTCTCCAAGCGTTAAATTCTTTTTTATTTTTGCATTCCAAGAACCGAAGAAAATTTGAAGGATGCTTTAGATGGAAATGATGCATATATTTTTTTTAAACTTTCATTGAACAAATTTAAGAATACCTGATATGCCTGCGAATCTTGAAGAATATCATTATTGCCGACTGCGGAATATTTCATGGTCCGATTATTGTGCTGCCATTTGAGTTACAGATAATCCTGTCATTTGGTGGAAAAAAAGCATGGAAAAGACGGAGAAACTCGAAGAATCCAATCCACTATATTTGCTCTCATGCAATTATTAAAAGTAGCGCAAAAAAAAGGAGAGAATCCTCTATGCGCACTGTGCATTGAATTTTGAACAGGCAAAATGTCACCCATGAATCATGTCTTTACGTACCATAATACAATATTATTCAATACGCAAGGGAAGTTGAAGTATAAAGCACACTTTCCTTTTTTTGTCTCACGTACTTGACGACAAAACGGTCGTCGATTTTATTCGAGTTTACCTGGTATTTTAAGAACCCCCACGTTTTACATAGTTGATGGACGTGACACAACTGCTATAGATATACTCAGAAATTTACGTCAGTGGTTGGCATGGGTTTTATCGAGGCATCAAAAAGGTCTCATACAGTGCACAACTTTTTCGAAGCCTATGCAACATGAAGTTCTATGTTTTTGTCAATGTTTGGATGAACTAATGTTCAACCAAACATGGCTTCAAGTCTGGCAATTACCTGAACATCGTGAATTGTTTTTCATCCTCTGAAAAAGGCTGAAAAATCATCAGAAGTTTGCGATACCACTGCCATGCCATGGAAAAAGAATCGAATACTGCATTAATAGAATAACGACTGCAAAGTCATCTTGTGAATATCCCCAATAAATACGGGGTTTTTTCTATATGATTGAAGCATTGTGGGCTTGCACGAGACGTTTTTAATGAGGCAGATTCTCTTTTTTTTTTGGCTGCCCCTTCCCGGATCAGGAAGAAATTGGCGGAAGGTTTATGAAATAAACTTCCAAACTTAAATTTGTATCTGCATATTGAGAATTATCTTTTTATGTCAGAGAATCTAGCTGCTGAAATGAATGCTCATACTCCCCCGTTACTAAAATGCCCGCCTATAATATAAATAGTCTGGAAACATGACATGAACATTAACAAATACGGGACCTTTATTTAACATCTTCCAACACGTCGCATTACGATGCTTGCAAATTTTACCACAGGGGGGAAAAGACTACGGGTTCCACGATTTTTGAATGGAACCAAGCGTCAAAAATGCAGAAAAACGTAATTATTGCCAATAAATAAAGAAATAATGAATGCATTTCTCCTCTTCTTTTTATCCCCCTGAATTTTTGCAGCGTCGATCCCGAGATGCGCAGGCTGCGAGCGCCCGATTTTGGACAGGTTCATTCAGAAGGTTCTGGACAGGACTTGGCACGCAGAATGTCTCAAGTGCTCGGATTGCGGGGCCCGACTGGCTGACAAGTGCTTCGCCAGAGACAACGGCATCTACTGCAAGGAAGACTTCTTCAAGTGAGTGCCGTCCGAGTTATCAGTACTGCATTGTATTCTACTAGAGTATTCGACTGTCTCCTTCTTTTGTTATGCCACGTAAAATTGCTATGAAAAATCTACCCTGTGTGAAATTTGTTCACGAGAATATGTCAAAAATGCTGACGACAAATAGTTTTCAACCGCGGGACGACAACAAATAAAGGGGTTCTCTCACTCTGCCCCCCTCCCATCTATCTCCCTTCATGTTTAAATTGTCAGTGTTCGTTGAAAAATTTTCACAGGCATCACCTTTTATTATGTTTTTTTTTCGATGTCCAGCTTTTTACACAATATTCATTTGCTCGTCAGATTGAAAAAAAGTATTTGTATACATTTTAAACTGGTTATTCAGTGGCTTCAATTTTATATATTTGTGGAATATTTTATTCGAGTTCAGTGCGTCACTTATTCGAAGTGATGAAAGTTGAAAAGAAAGTTGCTGAGCGCGTGAATGCAGTAGTTTAATTATCGAACAACAAAAGAAAGTGGCCATAAGTCGGATGCGTTGTTCAACTAAAACTTTACCCCTAAATTCCTCTCATTCAAGGAAGTTCGAGTATTTTACTGGCTGACCTTGCTTGTTGTAAAGCAAAGCAATTAATGTTGGTATCCACCAGTATTTTTATGGCATAAGATACTTCAGCTCTATTACAAAAAGAAAACTCATGGCATGTCAACATACTTTTTATATTTTTGAGAGTCTATAATATTAAGTGGTAAAATTACTGTAGTGCAAATATACTGGTTACTGCTGCATCACCCAAACATCTTTTTTTCTTATGCCCGGCATTCCACACCATCTAAACTTGAACTGTCAAAAGACTTGGGATTCTCACAATAATAAAAATGTTCTCTCTGAAATCTTGGAGGATCAGGGAGAAGTGTCAGCCCTATTAATGTATATGATTTATCCTCAAGGATTCCTTCTCTGAACTGTTCAATCATTTTTTAATCAGTTGGGAATAGGCTGAATACCTCGTACTTAAAATCATGCTCACTACGTAATTGCTGATGGGTGTTGTGTTCTTGTGTCCAAAAAAAAGAGCTAATCAAAGAATTCATGCATTGTAAGCACTGTAACAATGTAAACATACAAGTATATTTATGCATTTTTCATAATTGAATGGATGTGTGTGTGAATAAAGGGAGTGAGGCTAAATGTTTATGTATCAATCAAAAAAGAGGAAGCTCTGATACACATTTTTCCCGGGATGATTATCGATGACCCGTTTTCTGCTCCAACACAATTTTTGCTCTTGTATTTCGTGAATTAATTATATAATCCATCATCTATCGATCAATTGACTTCATCTCCGTGATTTGCTGGTCTATATATATATATATATATATATACAGTCGGTACGGGACCAAGTGCGCAGGCTGTGAGAAGGGCATCCCGCCGACGCAGGTCGTGCGCCGGGCCGGGGAGTGCGTGTACCACCTGCCCTGCTTCTCGTGCCTGCTCTGCAAGCGCCAGCTCAACACGGGCGACGAGTTCTACCTCATGGAGGACCGGAAGCTGGTGTGCAAGACGGACTACGAAAGTGCCAAGGCTCGAGGTGAGACCTGTTCTATATACAGCAGCAGTCATCTCGATTTCATACAGTCATTCATACAACTGCCACAGCACAGCACGAACTGATGCTGCTGCTGCTATGTTGGTGACACACAGTATTTCACAGACAAAGTTGATGGGCATTTTTAAAATTTATTATTACAGTATTGTGTTTAGTATAGCTATGGGGACGGCTTTTCAGGCTCGCTTCTATTTACTTTTTGATAAAGTTGATCCTCAAAAACGTCAACTGCTTTTATATAGGTGGAATACCTCCCCAAGTCAAATCTTTTTTTCAAGTATACCTGTCTGAATGCCTCCCTTGAAAAGAATGCCTCAAGAAATTCCTCAACTCACAGGATTCTCCTCTCGAAACTTCCACAAATCAAATTTCCTGAGTTCTTTAGGATATCATTTTCTTGAAACAGGAAAGAGAAAAGCAATAAATATATACGTCACTTGATGCATTTTGAAAGGACGTGAAAGACTAATTGGGCAAATGAACCCCTGCCCTCAAGTTCAGTATCCTGTCCACTGATTCAAGAAGCCATTTTAGGCCTAGAATATCACCATTTGCAATTCCCTGCATTCTTTTCACAACAAAAATGCTTGTTCCCCCAAACTGAAAACCTCCCTGTGTTGAATATTTTTGCTGGTTCCTTCAACTCTGAGTAAGAGAGGTTCGACTATAATGCAGTAAAATCTCATTGCAATGAACTTTCAGGGACCTAAGAAAAAAAAAATGCTACGATGAAAAACTTGTTATAATGATATTCTTGATTCAATGAGAATGTAGGAATGGTATTTTATGGTAAACAGGTAAGAAAGAGCGTTAAAGTACTTTTGCATCAGATATATGAGGAATTAATGTAATTTTCAACCATTTTGGCTAAAAGAATGAAGACAATAAATCAAAATCTGAAATACAATTTTCTTATTTTAGACCTCCAGTTTCTGAAAATTTCTTTAAAATACTAATCTTACTGAAGTATAAGCTGGCTGCAACAAACAGAAAATACTCGTACACTACGTTTAAGAGTAACATTTATTAATCAAGAACCGCATGATCACTGGAATAAAGCAGTATGTCAAGCATACTTTCTTGGAAAAAAATTCATAAAAATTTCAATAATTTGATTATCCATCCAGATTGAAGTTCTTATGTTGACTTGCACTTTAAGTACGCGCCTAAGTTAAACGCTGATGTACTAACACTGGATTTCATCGCGTGACTTCTCTTTTTACCGTATTACTTCAGAACGATTACTTATATGGTAAAAAAAACAATGGAGATAAGATTCCATTCGTCAGAAATATCCACTTAACGCTTAAAACCAAAACATTCTCAGCAGGAAACCGCAAATTTGAGGTGCGTATTATCTGCAATGGAAGGGAATTAGTGCCTGAAAAATACTCCTAGAGGAGGTACTGTTCTGGGGTTAAATTCTTCGGATGCGGAGCAAATCCGTCGTGGTGTCAAGGATTCATTTCCTGCTTTGCGGAATTTTCTAGGCATCCCTTTTTGCACGAGATAAAACTATGAAAGCGAGGTAAATGGCGAGACCGGTGCAACGTTTTCATTAAAATTCCTTGAAGTCGCGCGCTCCCGGATTTGCGCATTCAATTTCCTGCCTAACATTCGAGTCTCCATTACTCCACAGCACGAGGAAACGAAGTAGACAGAAAATTAAAAAAGGAAAGGGGAAGAAGGAAATAGGAAAGGGGTTTTCACCAGCAATCGATAGTGTGCAAATATTGGCGCTCTTTTCACGCAAAATATCTCCTCCAGTCGACCGTTTAAAAAAAATAATTCTTTTTACCTGCGCTCGGTGATCCCTTTTCTGCGCAAACAAATTACTCAGGCCCGGGTCGACGACGAATACCTCATTTCCGCGCTTCTCACCGCGAATAAAATAGAGTTTCATGGCAGGGAAAAGGGAAAAAAAAGTGGATGAACGTAGTTTCGACTACATTTAAAAAAAGAGAATATGACCTATATTGTCTCACCGGTTTATGAAAATACGGCCCTCGGATAAGGCTGACAGATTGCAAGCAAGCCACTACTTCGCTGCATTTTGACAAACAATTATGACATAAGTCAATTGGTCTCATTTTCCAATCAAAATAATAGGTACAGTATTACAGATTTTAAGGTGCATTCAAAACATTCCAGATGCAAGAGAAATCTGAGTGCTGAGTCAGTTACCAGACTCCAAGGGAATTTAATTTTAATAATGCGAAACTACATTATGGGCGCAGAAAATAAGGGAAGCTGGAACATCCTCACTCCTTCCTGGATATTAAAAGAGGACTTCTATTATTGTCTCTGATCCCAGGTTTCATGAAGACAACCATCACACACACAATCAGAAAATAAAATCTCGCATTGTGCAATAAAAACTCACTTTCAAAAAGAAATAAAATCAGCAAAGAAAAGATGCTTTGCCTATGGCGCAATACCGGACACACAAACTTCTGAAGCAAATAACTTCATGAATTTTGCAATTAAAAAATTTCGCAACATCTTAAATTGAAGCTAAAGATGTTCTTCAACTTTTAATAATCAAATGAAAATGGACTTGATTGACAGATCTAGAGATATTCTCAACTTTCTAAACCTAACTTTTCTTCAGTGATAAGAATCTGGAAAACCTTCATGCCAGATTCTTATCTCACTGATGCACAACCTTTTGGTGCAAGCAGTGACTTCAAAAGCCTTGTTTCTAAATGAACATGAATGAATTTATTTCTGCAACAAATACAGTATTGATATACAATAATTTCACATTCAAGAGGTTGAATCTTGTAAATCTCATATTTTTTATCCGGAAGCTATAAAAAACTCCCAAAGTTTCAACAACAAAAACTCCACCTATAACCAGGTCCAACTTCACTGATTGAACTTCTGTGACTCTGAGAGGATGAATTTGCATATGTAAAATATTATAATTGGGAATATTGCAAACATTTCAGGAGACTCCGGTGTTGGCCGAAAACGGCCTATTATTGTGATTACCTATATTTACCGCCTTACTCCTAAAATGTTCTTTCTTTGGGATTCTATGATCCTGGTCATGTATTATTTATTATTGCGGGTAACCTCTCTCTATTACAAGCTTGTCTACACAAGGATTTTCTTTGCATAACAATTGTTTGTACCCTACTAGGTGGGTTCTTTCCCCAAAAGGTCTTTTGAGGGTTTCCACCACAAAATTCTCCCTAAATTGCATTTTTTTTTCTGGTCCCTTGAATTTCGTTGCAGAAAGAGAGAGTCCACCAGCTGCATCATCATCATTATTTTTTAATTTATTTTATGTTTATTGCTCATTTATATATTTTCAGAAGCGGAAGCCGCCAACAAGCGGCCGCGGACGACCATCACGGCCAAGCAGCTGGAAACCCTGAAGACGGCCTACAACCGAAGCCCGAAGCCGTCTCGTCACATCCGCGAGCAGCTGAGTCAGGAGACGGGACTCGACATGCGGGTGGTCCAGGTCTGGTTCCAGAACCGACGGGCCAAGGAGAAGCGGCTCAAGAAGGACGCCGGACGGACTCGGTGGGGCAACTACTTCCGCAGCATGAAAGCAGGCGGCGGCGGCGGTGGAGCGGGTGGCGGTGCAGGGTCGCCGCGGCGAGACGGCGGCGGCAAGGGCCGCGACGACCGCCTCAGCGACGACACCGACGCCGAGACCTCTTTTGACACTGGTGAGCCACATTTATTATTATTATTTTTTTTCTTTGTCTCCCATCTGCATAATCAAAGGATGCTTTTTTTCTATTTCTGACTCTATCGTCATGAGAATAAAAAAAACTTTATCATCATCATCTCAGGTGTTACTTTTGTCGATCACAACAAGATAACATAAATGAAACCCACAGAAAATGAGTTATAATGAGGGTTATAATTAACTGGTTTGTAGCTAGAAAGATTTATTCAAAAGGAGACACTTCGAATACATTTCTCTAGTTTTGTCATTAGATTTTTTTTTATTTGCTCAAGTACCGCACGTCAGCTTGAATAGGAAAACGCGTCCAGGTTTTTCAGTTTGAAATTTTGATTAAATTATATTGTTGAGTACATTGCACCCCTAATTTTCATGGCTCCTAAACTGCAATATTTCCCAAAAATAGAACAAAAATTTGAATTTAGACATGAAATAAACTTTAATTCAATAATTTTAAAAGAGTTTCGTAGAAATAGGTCTTTCTTATAAAATTGGTCCGAAATTAGAATCGAGCATAATGCACAACTAAACTTCTAAATCTTTAAGAAATTTCATACCTGCCTGTCACAGGTACCCTCTTTTTTCCTCCAAATTTTGTGAAAAAATGTGCCTGTTTTCCGTAAGTAAATACGTTATTAAAATCAGTATGGAAAAAACATTCCAAGAGATCTCACAAATCACAACAAGGCAAGGAATTCTCCGCCAAATAAATAATACAAAAATCAAATGTGTAAAAAGGACGAAAATGTATAAAGGGGAATTCAAAAGTAAAGAGGAAATGCTGGAATTAATGGAAGAAATAAAGTACAGTAGACGTAATCGTTGAACGTGTAATTTTCTGAGAAGAATTTCAAGTGAACATCTTCACTGGGGATTTTCCCAGCATATATTCTTGCTCCACAACATAAGGTACAAATTGATGAAACAATATTCATTCAATCCAACTTAAAAATATTGAGCATATTTTTTATTTTACTGTAGGTTGTAACTCAATCAGGTAGATGACGCTTTTGAGTTGAAGTCGAAGATCCTGGGCATATACACTCTCATCTCAATTTGCTTTATTTCAATTGTCAGAGTGCTACCATTATATACAGTAATAAGTAGCCAATGTTTCTTCCTTTTTATGGAGGCTGTCTGAAAAAATTGGCTGCGGGTCCCGAGTCCTGTATAACAGCTATATACGAGCCAGCTGCGGGAAAATATATAGAAGGGGTAAGCGCGCCCCGGGGGTCGTAAATCTTGCCCCATCAGCGGGAAATTTGCAGGACACATGCCGGAAAATGACTCGCATATGCTCGGCATTTGTTCCGCTTTGTTCCCGACTCGATCCCTGGGCGAAGCAGCTCAGGACTGACTTTTCGAGGGAGCGACGAAGTGTTTTTTTTTTTGCTTGCGAGCCTTTCTGCGAATTAGACTAATTCGCGAAGCCCCGAGTCATGCATCGGAGTGGCGAGAGCGTCTCCAGGTCCCCGGGGACGTCTGGGAAAAGCCAACCGTGAAGTTTCCCATCCCCGAGCTCGGATCCCCCAGGGATCCTCTTGCAACATCAGCGGCACGCACAGAGAGAGAGAGGACTGGCCAGAGATCAAACGGTGTTGTGTATACTGTGTGTTGCCAGGAAGAACCTTTTCGATATTGTTTCGATATTGTATTAATATTTGTTTCTCCCATACAAATATTAATGTATTTACTTACGGGAAACAAGCAAATTTTTTTCCCAAAATTGAGAGGAAAAAAGAGGGTACCTGTGACAGGCAGGTATGAAAATTTTTGAAGATTTAGAAGTTTAGTTGGGCATCGTGGTCAATTCGAATGGGAGATTTTTGACCAATTTTGTAAGAAAGACCTACAGTATTTCTATGAAAGGAATTGAAAATTATTGCATTCAGGTTTGTTTCATGTCTAAATGCAAATTTTTGTGTTATTTTTTGGGAATATTGCCGTTTTAGATCCATTAAAATGAGGGGGGAGGGGCATTGTACTCAGCAATGGAATTTAATCAAAATTTCAAACTAAAGAACCTGGATGCGTTTCCTGCTCAAGCTGGTGTGCGGTACTTGAGCAAGTAAATACACTCGAGGTGGCCGACAAAGTTAATGTATTACTGCAAAAAATTAAAATCTAACGATGTTGTGCACCTTTTCATCAAAATTTGGAAATCATAACAACCGCTTCAGAAGTACTGCTGTAGATCAAATTTGACGATCGGTGCGCATATGTTGTACAGTACTCTGAATGATATTAGTACAGGCCAGCAATTTTAAAGAAAATATTTCGGAATTTTCGTTGAGTCTACTTCAAAGTCCACTTTGAAGGAGCTCCAAACCGAAACAAACCAAAAGCGAGTTGAGCGAAACGTACATTGTCACTTTCAAACTTTTATCTTTTTCACAAGTCATTTCAGCTTTTCGCGAGTAATAATGAAGAAATGCATGCTGGGAACAGTTTAAAAAATAAAGCTGCTGTGAATTGGAAGTTGTAAAAACTTCCAGTTTTTGAACTTCACCCAGATCGATTCAAAATGGCACATTCAGTATAAAATATACAGCATCAGAGAAACAATAAGAATATTCCCCCGCAAAGCGCCAAATTTAATTTATTTACTTCGCAACATTCTTGCAAAAATCATCAATCTGTTCTCTGTGTCTCGATGTGCTTTGTCTCGAGAAAAATAATTCCAGAACACATTTTAAGAATTGGTGTTAAGTGTATTTCACTTCATGTCGACCTATAATGGGAAATTTAATTGCAAAACGATGCCATAACGAGATTCATCTTGCCAGCCTTGCAGTCATCTTCGTGAACAACTTAATTAATTTGTTTCAATAGTGGAAAAAAGGGACCTCCAAATCTAATTTGGTAATTATGATTGTAGGCAATGATCTCTTTGCAACTAAAGCGAAAAATATTCACGATGAACGAAACTACTACGAGTGCCGGTGAACTTCCTTTAAACATTTTCGTCCAGAATTGTTAAAGATTTCTTCGTTGAATTTTAACCAAGAGTCCATTGAAACCATTTACTGCACGGTAAAATACAGTACTCACACTTAAATATTTTCAGTAGAAGTTTAATGAATTATAAATACTTCAGGTGTCTTTCTATACTTGATGCCATCGAATTTAATGATAAAAATAATTAAAATGGACTTTTTTCAACTAGATACGATTTCTTGTAGAAAAAAAAATCTTGCTTTCCGAATCGGAGTCCAAATAGACTCCCAAAGTCTTACCCTGAAGTATGTATAAGTAGTCTCCAAGTCTATGTTTAAAATTTCTTGTAAAAAAATATTCCCGAAAGTCTTTCGTAGTACAGGATTTGATCTCAAAGAATTAGTTTAGATTATTTTAGGACGATTTTCGAGCCCACGGACATAGGAAGACGTATTTAAATGCCATTTGAAAAACGCAGATTCATAAAGAACATGAGCTGTAGGCTTCGAACCCATCAATGAGGAACGCATTTCTTTTCCCATAAAAGGCCTTGAAATATGCGTAAGAAAATGTAAAACTCGTGGGAAACCAGACTAGCCATAATAAAGCGGAAATTGTGAAATCATGGAAGAGGCGAAGCGGAAGCTTCGTTTCCTCCCTGAACTGGGATAGAGTTATTCTTCCGAGCTGTACCTCATGCATCTATAATTCTATACAGAGACCTTTATTACATCAACAACAACAACAACAAAAAGCAGAGCATTGCATTTTATTCGCACACAAGTTAGTCATTTTTTCGAGCGTTACTCTTATTGAGCTGCGTCGCGTGCTAGGCTGAAATGTTCGATTGAAAAAAAAAAATACTGTATCAGAAAAAGAGGCAGGGAAGTGTATGCACCCTAAGGGAGGGGTCCTGCTGCTTGAAGAGACAGAGGGGGGTTCTCTTTCTCTCTGGGGAGAAACCCTGGAAACCCTGCTGATGGCTGGTGAGGGAAGTGGGGTTTCGGATGGAGCGAATCGTGCTGAGCCACGCCCTTCCGGCCCTCTTCCGTTTTGTGCGGGACTGGATGCAATCCAGGAGACGCGTTCGCTGCTGCTCTTTTTCTTTTCTTCGGTTTTCTCGAATTTCATCCTAACCTGCCTATTCTAGATGCAGTTCTTGTGTGCGTATTTTTCTTCTCGGAAGAATTCCCCTGCCAACTTTGCCGCGTAGAAGCGCCGAGAATACAACTTTTCCATCAGAGGATTTTACCAAATATTTCCGCCGGGTGGAACATTTCAGTATTCAGTAGATCCCGCTCCAAAAAATAATAATTATAGTAGATTAAAAAATTAATCTAAAAAACCATAGTTTCTAAGCTATCCTGAAAGTTTCAGCTTGCTAGCTAGTCGGGAAGTGAGCGAAATTTGAGTTGCAAAATTTGATCCGGACAGACAAACGGACAAGAAAGCGAGTTAATAAAAACGTGTTAAAAAGCAAACTCAGGCATTGCTCTTTTTCTCCTATTTGCCATCTTAATTGTGAAACATTTACAGGGAAATTAGAAATAAAACTATGGACAGTTCCGAAATATCACGAGGTCCAAAAAATCAGAACTTTCGCATGACGTCAAAGAAAGGGTCCTTCAAAATAAACGAGTGGAATTTTTCTCTCAGGTACCTGAAACAATTTTTCATGTGCTATCCATAATCATACCCTCGAAATTTAATGTCTCGTAATTATATATTAATCGAAGGAAACGTATGTGCATGATAATTCTCTTTTTCTTAAATTGTTTTTGCCGTAGTTTCAAATAAGCAGGAGCTATTACTGCTTAAATTCAGTGTGATTGTTTGAAGGTATGATGATTCTTATGAAAAACTCAGTCAATTATCAAATAGATTGAAATTATCACCATATATTCCTTTTTTCATCTATGAGAATCTTGCTCACATAGTTTAATCTTTGATGAGCGAACGAGAGAAATGGTTTATTTTCATATCTTTGTATGCTGCAAAGTAATCACGAAATACTCATGATGAAGAATTGGAGAGTTGTAAGGAAATAAGGAAAGGATCCGTTTAAAACTTGGCTCAAAGTTGTGGAATAGCCCCTCGTATGTATGATAAAGTTTTTTATTTTTATACTGCAGTCCGTCAATCAATCCTAAAATTATAAAGACATTTACATGAAGCATATTCAGGATTGGTTTTGTTCTATATTTGTGTAAGACATGACCTGCTTGGCATGAAACTTCCAGATGCGGGAAAAAATAGGGAACAAGTTCCCATTTCTTTGAATTAGAATATTGATTTATCATCCTGCAGTGATATAATTTACGAAAAAAATTGAATATGCAGTATTCTCATATGATCGAAAATTTTCATTATTTTTTGTTCAAACTTTGTCTAGTAGTGGGTTTTTTTTTAGAAATTTTCGTTGAAAACTTTTTCCCGAATGCAGTCAGTCACGCTAAAGATCGCCAGCGTTGACATTTTTTTGAAATGCTTTGCATTGTTTTTCATTCTGTTATAACTGGCAGTTTCTTAAAATCTGCCGCCTTTACGTGTACTTGTAAGGTAAAAAAAATTATATTGATAACATGGTAATAAATATAGGCAATTGATTCTGTGGAAATAAATCGTACGTTTCATTTTGTGTACGAATACAAGCATTCAAGAAATACTTTTCTGAATCAAAAGTATCCTGAATATCAATTCTGCCTGATTGCAGAGGTTTATGGTCTTGATTTCTTCCATAAAGAGAAAAATCAGTTTGTGAATGAAATTTTCGCGATACTTGGACACGTAAATGCGTTAATTTAACAAAAATACTGCATGGAAATTTCTAAACATATTTTTTGGAATGTATGTGAGATTTAGAGATCATTTAATTTCCTGGGAAACATTGCGCAAATCAAACCCATCTGTTCTAACCTCTTTTCTGCAGTATCAGATCTGTTTTCGCATCAATTCTGCAGTCAGATTACACGTACAGAATTTGCAGTCAACGGTCGTTTTGATGGAAGTGAGCTGAAAAGCAATGAACGGAGCTTGAAATTGCATACATGATTCGAATGACGCATTGATTGCTTCTTTAATTTACTGATAGATTGATTGATTCATTTGTTCGCAGATGACTTGTCGAGCGAGCTGCCGGGCGACAGCTACCCACCAGGTGGCCCCATGAGCATCGAGGAGCCCGGTTCTGGCCCGCACAGTTTGGGCAGCTCGATGGGCCAGTACTTGAGTGGCACGCCAGGGACGCCTCCGTACCCGGGCGCCGGGGACCCGCATTCGCCGTCGCCGCACCTAGGTGGCGTCTCCGCCGCAGCAGCAGTTGCTGCTGCAGCAGCCGCCGCCGCCGCCGCCGCCGGACTGCCGCCACATCCTCTCGGCCCCGGCGTGTTCCCATTCCCAGACATGGGACTCTGCGGCGGA